CGGATTGGCAAACGCAGTTAACCTAACTGCGTTTACCAATCCGCCTGCTGCAGATGTTTCAAGAGGGACACTTCTTCCCATCCCTCGCCCTCCCTTTGTTGTTTCTTACGACACCTACGAGAAGGTAAGGGATAGCTAATTCTATGCTGGGACTACATGGGAATTCCCCTGTATATATTTTAATAATATTTATTTTTTTATACTGATATCATGTAATGAATAAACTCAAAACAACAAAATTTTAAAAGATTTTAAAAATTGTTTCATCTATAAAAAACTAACATTATCAGCGAGTAACATAAGCTATATATTATTTTTGCAAATTCTATTTACTCGTGCGAAATCGGGCTGAATCGCTAGTCAGAAATAATATGCAAATAGTACCTCCTTATAACTTTAACGATTTGTTATTAAAATAATTCTAGTTAATTACTATGTAAGAAAGGAATTGTTAGTAATGGGGTTTAACAGCCCCATTGTAAGCAATACATCCTGTTAAGTCGATCGATATCGATTTTAACAATTCTTTTTGTAATTGATAAGATTGATCGAATATTAATTTAGTAATAATTAAAGCTCCCGTTTGTCTTTTGTGTTGGAAAAGTAAAAAATGCTCGTAAACACGTGATTCTGCATTCTAAATTCAAATATTTTTTAAACTAATATTATAATAAGAAACTATTTTTTAAAAAACACTTATCCGATATTAAAAAAATAAGGCTGTACGTTTTAAAAAAAAAAAAACATTCGAAGCCGGGGCGGATTGCTATAGCTATAGCTATGAAATTAACATTTCGTCATTTATCGATGTGTGTAGATTCACATTTTTTTTAGATAAATAGATAATTTATTTGAATTACTTACAGCACACAAATAACAATAAACATATACCTACAGTAAAAAGAGATAAAAGAATGCATATACAAAACAAGCAAAAGATATAAAAAAAAAAAAATATTCTTGTTACAATTTTAATTATCAAAGTACGAGTATGTCGGAGTGCGCCATAAGGGAACTTGCGTGAAGATAGAACATTATCAATAAACCAAATAAAGAAAGGCTTGCCATTTATTTATCGACTTCCAAAAAGGAGGTTATCAATTCGCCTGTATAAATATTTGTAATAACTTTACGTTCATGTTATTACTTTTAATTGAAATTTAAACGAATATTTTTTTTAGTGGTATTCGTGGCATAACCATGACCGTGCTCATGAATAAGGGCTTTTGTTGAGTTCGAAATCTGTTGGACATGCCCGAATATAAAACTTGAGTAAAGCCAACATAGATAATTACAATGCAGATTAAAAAAAAAGTATTATACGTTTGTAAAATAAGTTCCTATTCCTTTCTCACTCACGACTTGGTACGCATGAATTATGGAAGTAGAAAAATTAATTAAATATACTATTTCTAGATGGCGCATCAAGACTTTATTTATTTAGACCTTCAGGAACACAATTGTGAAAACCGTATCCAATTTGGTACAGTAGCTTTTACATAACGGCGGAACAGAGATACAGACAACGTTTAACAAAAATATTGTTTGGAATTAGTCTCATTTAGATCCCTATTATTTTTATATCTCCCATATATAAACACTGTCTAGTAATAATTTTATTATATTAATAAAATAAAATAAAAAATAAAACACTGATGTCGTCTAACGGGTGTCTAAATACGATAGCGACAGCGTGCTTTAGGTTACTAATGAATGACCATGAACATGGTGTAACGTCTGTAAAACTAAGCAGATAAAATAATGATAGCTTATCTGTTGAATTATATAAAGTGTAATAACATACGCTTCTGGTTATTTTATTTATCCAGCGTTAAGTAACTGGGCTGAAATGGAAACTAGCTAGGAAGTTTTGCCGTGCGGTCCCGGCATAGAATGGACCAGCCTTTTCTTTCTCGTAGGTACCGTCAGAAGCGATTAACAGAACTTAATGGTCGAGGGATGGGCGCCCCTCTTAAAACTTCGCCAAAGCTTAACTGCGATTGATTACCCGTCTGCCAAGCATAAAGATTGCTGGCAAAACCACCCTTATCGGGCAGGCCTACGTTCAGCAGTGGCAGTTAATGGCTTATATGATAATATGATGAAGTAAGTTTTACTAGACGGAGACTGTGTACAAAAGTCATTTGTGGCAGGTGGGACAGATGTACCCATACATCTATCCCACTTGCGTCTCTGCCAGAAAAAAATAAATTTATAGATAAAATGACAGAGGAAGAGAGAGAGAGAGAGTAAAATGGCTAAAGATATACTATTAGAAAAAAGCTGATCACCTTCAATAAGAAAACCAGTGGGAAAAAAAATTGAGCGAAAAAATTGAGCCAAAATAAAATAACAGAAGAAAAAAAAATGCAAACATCGTATAGATGCATAACAACGTCTTTGGTAATGCATGAAGGGAGTCAAGGGCGTCACAGTCGACATACTCTGTGATATCGATAGTACTAGTTCATGTCTATAGATGACATTTACCACTTTCCATCAGACGGGCTTTTAGCTTTTCACCATTCTGTAATAAAAAAAGATTAGAAAAATACACAATTAAGACGAATTAACAGCACCTTATTTGCTAATATTCACTTATAATTATGTTCATTCGAAATATGTTGTCCACATTTCGCTGGTAGTTAATAAAAATGGACGGCTTTAAGTCACAAAAAAATGTTTTGAGATCGCAAATAGCGTTTACATTCAATTTGAATAATAGGTATACGGATATAGTCACGATGGTGATTGTAACACAAACGTGACTCAGGATTATGATAGTGACAATCGTATCCTCTCTACCAACGGACAGTTTCATACTTTTCTATTTATATCATAATATGCAATACATAAACTTATATTTTAATATATAAAAATTCCATGTCAGGATGTTTGTTCTCACTAATCTCCGAAAATGCTTAACAGATTTTAATAAAGTCTCGTAAATATGTATTGTTTGCTCCAACTTTAGAAATAGAAGTAAAATAGAAATAAAAAATTATTATTTGACAAAAACAAAGTTACAATTACAAGATACAATGGGACCCACACTAGGCGAACCTGTATCGTGGGCATCTGACAAAGATTAGATGAGAGATAGGGAAGTTTATATTTTGATAAAAAAAAAGTTACGTAGAGGTAGCTGTATAGCAAATAACAAAAAAAAGAGCAAGTATAATAGACTATTAAATGTATACAAATAATACCCTATACTCACTTGATTATATAACAGGAATCCACATACTATGTGGGATAGAAAATGTACTTAAAAACATAACCTTCAAGAAAAGACCGTATTCCTTTTTAAAAGGCCGGCAGCACACCTGCAATGCCGTAGGTGTTGTGGGTGACTATGGGCGGCGGTAGTCACTTACCATCAGGTGAGCCGCATGCTCGTTTGCCCCCTGTGTTGTAAAAAAAAAAAAACTATGTGGAATAAAAAAATCTTTACTAATATTATAAATGTGAAAGTGAGCGTGACAGTTCATCAAATGCTAAGTAATTATCGCCGCCGATATATTATGGGCGGTGATAACTGACTTCAGAGGATATGCAGGTGTGTTACTGGCCTTTTACACGAAGGAATATACTCTTGTCTTGAATGTTTCAATGTCGTATCTATTTGAAACAACTTTTGCTTGGAGTTGGTTCCGCAGTTTGTTACTTTCTAGCGCCTTAACGCCTTAACCAAACACTATGAAATTCGTTATAAATGTACTATATAATAATAATAATGAATCTTTATTTCAGTTATTGTTACAAATAGTGTGTAGTCCCTAACACCTGAGGTAGGTATGAAAAAGCTTTGTATCAGGAATTAGTACCCTCTTCCATATGTTGTTATATCACATTTTTGCTGAAACAAATAATATGAAACAGAGTAGTACTAAAATATGGAATGGAGACAGATATAGGCTGCTTTTTATCCCGGTCAGTGACCACATCCTGGTTATGCGGACGAAGTTAAAAAGTAGTTTATGATATATTATATAATATTTATGATAAATTTGCATCCTTTCTAATTAGAAAGGATGTTAATTTATCATACGAATACAATGTTGCTAAAAATAATGTCACATATCGCATTTTTTAACACTCGTCCTGGCTTATCTACGGAAATGATATAATACAAATTATGCCATTATTAAATTGGAATTTATGTATTATTTTTACCTTAGTAGCTTCTAATTAGCATATTTTTAAATAACTAGACGGCCTTGTGACATTTTTTTCACAATAATTAGAAATTTAAACAGCCATTATAGACTTAACTCGATATAGTAAACATTTGCGTGTTTTGTCTTAGATATTTTGTTTAAATTTCATTAGATTGATATAAAATGATTTGATTAGGAAAGATTTGATTTTTTCTTAGTAATGAACAAATTAGAATAGAGAACCTGAAAGGAGTAGGGTTTGTTTATAAAGTATACTCGTAATATATATGGAGTAAAAATCGATTCAGAAATGACATAGACATACAGTAATATACCGATATACAAAAATACTTTTGGAATCTGTTTATAAAAAGTCGAATAATTATTGTTTATCTCAATTTTTATGACTTTTCCTTATGGTAAGATGTTATTGCAATTTGCTGTAATTTTTATAGATGTAATGCTGTAAAGAAATAAAGTTATTGAATTTTGCTGCAATTTTGATCATTATAAAGTCATAAGCAAATAAAGTTGATAAGTTTAACTGTAATTTTGATAGAACGTCATAACAGTATACTACCAGAGGGAGACTTTGTACAAAAGTCGATTGCTTGGCTACCTCTGTCCCATTCGTGTTTCAACCGTGAAGCAGTTGTGTTTGCATGGCTGTGTTTCGGTTTGAAGGGTGGGATATGGCGTGAATTTACTGGGTATAGAGGAATAACATCTGAATCCTCAGGAATGGCAACGCATGGGGGAAACAGTATACTCTGTTATGTCAATGGTACTGCTCATGTCTATAGGCGACGGTTACCACTTTACATCAGGTGGGCCGTCAGCTTGTTTGCCATTCTAAGTTGTATAAAAAAAAAGTTATTAAATATAGATGTAATTTTGATAGTTATAACGTATAAGGGAGTAGAGTTATTGAATTTTGCTGTAGTTTTGATAGTTATAACGTCATAAGGGAGTAGAGTTATTGAATTTTGCTGTAGTTTTGATAGTTATAACGTCATAAGAGAGTAGAGTTATTGAATTTTGCTGTAGTTTTGATAGTTATAACGTCATAAGGGAGTAGAGTTATTGAATTTTGCTGTAGTTTTGATAGTTATAACGTCATAAGGGAGTAGAGTTATTGAATTTTGCTGTAGTTTTGATAGTTATAACGTCATAAATTACTAATTTTTTTTTTAATTTTTATAGCTACAACGTCATAAGGAAATCAAGCACATTATTATATATTAATTTGTGAGAAAGTTTCCTTATAATGAGAGGTACTACGTGCCATTTCTCATGTACCTATACGAATTGGAATTGGATTTCACCATTCTCTCGAAGGTCGTGCGTAAGATCCGTTTAGTACGAGTAGTAAGTAGTATTTATTACAGTTTATTTGAGAGATTACCTATTTAAAATACATCAGTTAATAAATTAATTATTAATATAGTCTTTACTTATTTGTTTATTACTTTATATGTAGCTATGATTGTATTAAAACCATGCAATTAGATAGACCAAATTCGTAATACCTTATTGAGATTGAATATAAAGATTTTTTTTATTTATTAATATTTTTTTTTAGGATAGTTGCTACGAAATTATGTTCAAATAATTTCATTGAAATTTTTACAAGTTTAATTTGTTTGGAAAACAAATTTAAATAAATCATTGAAGATGCAATGAAAGGTGAAACCGGTCAGATTCCATTTATAAGCCAATTAGTAATTCTTTTTTTATCTGAAAGAGTGTTTGGCGTTTGTTTTTGTCGAAATAAATCTTAAATTATAACATTTTAAACGATAAATTATGAAGTACTCATACAAAATTAGAACATGTCGTCACAGATCCCAGTAGTTACAAAATATTGTTTGGAAGCTTACATCATATTGCTGTATGTCAAGAAACAGATGTCCAATGATGGCATCAAATATAAGGTTGCCAGAAGTGAATCATGGAAATGCGATGAAGACAAAAGTTATTATTTAATCTGTATTCACGCCAACTTATATAGTTAGTATGCATAGAGAAACAGGTAGTAAAGGTATGTAAAACTTGTAATAGTTGGTGTTTTTTTTTTAATGCTATTTGGAATGAAAAATAAGCTCACGATCCACCTGATGAGAACTTATAAATATTACTTATAGATATCAACAGCACCATAGATTACTGCCTTGCATTTTCCCATTTATTTGGGGTCGATGCGGTATTTCTTGTTCTTCTTCTTCGACAATTTTTGGGAAACAGCTTTTTAAATATCACAGAATATATTATACGATAATGTAAAATAAACTATTATAATAAATATATTAATTTTATTATTGTAATCAATTAATCTTTGTTTTATTTATTTCTAAATAACATTATTGTATTTTATATTATATATATCTAGATGCGTGAGGTTGAATGACATTAAAATATTTTTTGTAAAAAACAATAAAGAGTACCTGTCTAATTATGTATTAAATTCGTGACTACGATTGTACTTCTTATACATTGCCATTCCTGAGGACTAAAGTATGTCTCTATATTTTAAAATTTAATTTACATATTCTATCATTCTAAACGAAATTAGTTGATAAATGGTTTAGTGATTATACTCATATTATATTAATTCAATTAAAAAAAAATTATTATATATATAGTATATCGGCTGAAATGATAATTACTCTTATAATTGTGATATAAATGCCTAATTATAATTAGGCATTAAATAATTAATTTAACTATATCCCAAACTTTTACAATATTGCCAACCCTGCATAAATAATGAAACTGTAGGCAATATAGTATTCACTTAACACATTAGTGTTTATTATGTAGAAGGATCAACAAATGGTGTTAGCAAAAAATAACTACTGCCAGCCATTTCAAGCCGTTATCAGAATTATAAAAAACGTAAATAAAATAGAACCAAATTAAGAATCTCCTTCTTTTTGAAGTCGGTTAAAAATACATTATGACTTTTAACATCATGGGCACTTAATGTCATGGAAGTAAAAAAAAAGACCATTTCTGGATAGTGTATCAAGGTATTAGATATACCAGATTTTAAGTCAAACTTCAGGAAAATAAATCTGTAAATCGTAACTAATTTGGTACAGTTTTTGCGTGATTTGGGAACAAACATCGTCTAGTTACAATTTAATTACGAGTATATTATTAAAATTTATTATTAGTGGCTAAAATATTTTGCTTGTCAAATAAAGCTTTGTCTATGAAAATATGTTATAAAAACATTTTTTGTATGCTGTACTCTGATTTGGCTTCTATTGCTTTTAAGACCCCTAATATCAGTTTTTTCTTAAATATCTCCTATGACAGATACTATATACTACAGACATAGTCAAGTTATAATTTTATTATTTTAGTGAGATTCCAAAGCTGAGGGTCTACCATGAAATGAAATTCCGAATTTACGGATTCAATTTCGTGTTTTTGTTCGTACCGAAATCGACCAGTAAATGGAGCTTAACATTTCGTTCGTCATTATTTCTACCATAATAGTTCAGAGGAACAATATTTTTACATTTTTAATAATTTTAACGATATGTACATATTATGTAATTTTAACATCAAATTTCTGTTTCGTTCATCCCCGAAATTTCGAAAAACATTTCATGGTAAGCCCTCAGATTAAGACTTGTTATTACTAATATCATCATCATCATATCAGCCGTTAATTTCCACTACTGAATATAGGCTTCCACCTATTGGGGACTTTTGCCATTAGTTGCCATGCTTGACAGGCGGATGGGCAAACGCACTTATGCTTTGGTAATGTTTAAAGACGTTGACTGTGTGGCCCAGCCATAAAATAGGCTACACTTTTCTTTACCGTGGCTGTCGTAAGAGTCGACAAAGGGAAGGCGAAGGTTGGGCAGCAGCGTCCCTCTTAAAACATCTCTAAAGCCTGACTGCGTTTACCAATCCACCTACCAAGCGCGGCAACTACTGGCAAAACCCTCCCAAGGGGAAGGCTTATGTTCAGCAGGATACTGTTATGATATGATGATGAAAAATATGTAATTTAATATTATATTGATCAATCGGTTGCAATTTGTACTTTAAAGCTTATAATTTTAAGTGATAAAGTTATCTATCTCATGCGAAATCTGAGTGATAACTAGACAAAATATAAATTTAAAGCTAATGATTTTTAAATAACTCGTCGTGAATGAATCGGTTTTTTTAAATAGATGATAATGGAATGGTAACCCGACCTGTGCTATCGGTATATACTGGCGGGGCACCAGTGAGGGATGATAGGTGAGAATGAAGCTGGTCAGTTAGCCCACCATAACGAATTTAACAATAAACCGATTACGATGGTTTCCAGGGGAACCATGAGGAGGTTGATTTGACAGGGTATATTGCTAGCAAGGGGGCTACTAATCCCCATTACTAACAATCCCTTCTCATCTCGAATGAATCGGTTAGGGAAAGGTTTATTTTCAGTTCTCGTCTAAATTTACTTTCCAAACTGGAAAGTACGGTTATAATAATATGAATGTGTGATAAAAATGTCCTATGTGAATAAATGATTTTGATTTCTTAATACAGTCTTAATTGTATTATATATACAGAGTCGCGGATTATAGTTAGTCTTAGTATATGAAAATAAATGAGTGTACTATCCCAACCCACGAGAATGAGGTCATTCTTGTATGGGTCGGGTAATGAATCACTTAGCGACTATACACTATATTACACTACGCCGCAATGAAAGTATTTATATTTGTAATTTACGATTTTGCTCAGCAGAAATAGCAAATTCAATGATGGGAAATGGGCAAATAAATATAGAAAAAGCCTTATTTATGTAGAAAAAATATCGAAATTAATTCATAACTGGCGAAAATATTGTGTAACATACTAACACGACCAACTACGTACGTACACGAGGACGTGCACATACGCGCGCGCACACACACACACACACACACACACACACACACACACACACACACACACACACACACACACACACACACACACACACACACACACACACACACACATACACACACAAAACAGGCAAATCGAGTATCCTTTCCGTATTGAAGTCACTAAAATATGATTTCTATTTTGGTTATTAGTTAATTTTTTATTTTTTTTATACAACTATAAACTAATTAAAAATATACATTCATATAATTTTCCGTTGTATGTAATGATGATCTGATCCTCAAAATACCCATCAAACCTTGCCTGAAGAATTGCAAATATGATAAAAAAGGCGCCATCTAATCTATCATATAGATAAGACTATGCATACTTTTTTTTTATACAACTTACAATGGCAAACAAGCTGACGGCCCACCTGATGAAAAGTGCTAATCGTCGCCTATAGACATGAGCAGTACCATGGACATAACAGAGTATACTGTTTCGCCCATGATACCCCCCATGCGTTGCCATTCCTAAGGACTCAGGTGTTATTCTTCTGTACCCAGTAAATTCACGCCATAACCCACCCTTCAAACCGAAACACAGCCATGCAAACACAACTGCTTCATGGTTGAAACACGAATGGGACAGAGGTATCCAAGCAATCGACTTTTGTACAAAGTCTGCCTCTGGTAAATACTTTATATAGTAGAATACATGTCCGTAAACTCAACTTAGACAAGGGTATATTTTGTCCTTCGCGGATGAAAATGTCCCTTGTTTGCGTCTAAGCTCCGATGTTTTATGACAATGTAGAAGATAAATAATTCAAGCAAGCCCAAAGATATAAAATAATATAACGCCATATAGTTTTACGAGTGTAGCAGCAATGGAATACTGAGTATAGTATCGGTTTCATTGTCGGCTAATTAGTGTTTTTGTATGGCTTGTATGTATGTTGTATGGTCGAAGCAGGAAACGAGACGAGTCGCTATCGCAAATTTCATTCTCACTGCGTTTGTCATAAGGGCGTTGTGAATTGGCCCGTTGTGTTACTCAGATTGCGGATTTAATATAAATGGTTAGTTGATGAGAATTATTCACTAATCAGTGATATGAACATTCGAAAAATAACACCTAGTGTAGTAAAACGATTTAATATGGACGTTTATTTTATTTAAGTTTTACTAACTTTTATAATAATGAAAAGTCTATGTGTTTTATATTTTAAAAAATGTAAATAATCAAATTGTATCATTTTATTCATTAATTTACGTGTGTTAAATGGCTCAAATAAAGTGTTTATCTATCTATCTATCTTTTCTATTGCTTTCTCGATACTAAGAACACTAAATTTCAAGACAATTCGTTAAGTTGTTAAAGCACCAAAAGGTAATAAGCAAATGTACTCACTTAAGAAATTATATTTATTTTAGCAAAGATTTAGTTTTTGTGTTATATTCTAAGAATATGACACCAGAAACTCTAATTGGTGTATATCATTATCATCATTATATCAGCGGGTCTACCATGAAACGAAATTCCGAAATTTCGGACTCAATTTCGTGTTTTTGTTTATACCAAAATCGGACCAATAAATGGAGTTTAACATTTTGTTCGTTATACATCCTATCATAAAAGTCCAAAGGAACAATATTTCAACATTTTTGATATTTCCAAACGGCATGTAATTTTAACATCAAATTTGTATTTCGTTTGGCTCCGAAATTTCGGAAAACATTTCATGGTAGGCCCATAGCTGTAAACTGTCCACTGTTGAACATAATCCTTCTTTATAAGAAAGATTTTGTAAGTAGTAGCTACGCTCGGTAGGCAGATTGGCATCCGCAGTGGGCTTTGATGATGTTTTAAAAAAGACGCTACTGACCACTAAATTTCCTCAGTTGCTTCTTACGACACTCATGGGAAATGAACGGATAGCCCATTCTATGCCGGGACCACACGGCATGTAACTGGTATATTCATATTAATACGAGCACATGACATAATTATGCTATCTTATACCAGTCACTATTTAGACAAATGTTAAGTTATATAAGAGTAAATAATGATGAAAATAAATATAAGGAATTAATTTACATAATTATTAATAGCAAATCTGTACGCAAATTGCAATAATAAATAAATAAAATAAAAAAGAATCTAAAACTATGTTATACTTATTGCGTCGTATTTTTCTTCGTCTTCAATATGTTTTAGGTAAATACAAGTAATATGATGTTTACAATAAGAAAAGCATAAACAAATTAACACTGTCCAATTCAAGTTGCGCGCAGCGACCGACACGATCTCAAGGTCGCAAAGCTGATCTCACCGACCATTTTTTTCTATACAACTATTATGTGACCGGTTTTAGACGTACACACAAACAGTACAACACACTTAAGGAGCGCAGGAAAAGTGACATTCACACAAAAAGTTCGG